GGTCAACATGGGGGGCCCTGAGCGCTGGGCGAGCTGGACTTGGACATGCGCGGCGCGCTTTACACGTGCCGAGCGGGAAGGTCTACGCTACGGAGGGGTCGAGATCATGCGGAGCGTTAGGCAGCGAAGAAAAATGGGCGACGGCGAGGCGCTGAGGGCGACGGAGGAAAAAAAAACAACGCACCACCTGGGAAGATGCGAAAAAGGCTGGACTCGGACCTTCGGCAATGGAAAAAGAAACATGCATGGGGCGCAGGAGCAAGCGGGAGGACATCCTTATCAGGTGTCGCCAATCGTCAGCTACGCCGCTGGACTGGCGCGGAGTTGCTTCATTTTCAGCGGCGAAGGACATGCTAAAGACATAGGCAGAAAAAAAGAGTCACGCATGCTTGATGCTCGATGGGAATGGCTTCTCACCCAGGCATCCAGCACAGAGGAAACGCACCGAAGCACCCATGCTGGGCGCAGGGGCGGCCGCGGAACACATCGTGGGATAATGCGATTACTTGCGATGAAGCTACGCAGCGGCAGGCAAGACAGCAGGAGCGAGCACCGCCACCAACAACTACGACTGCACGAATGCATGTGCAAGTACGAAGCGCAATCTATTATTGGTATCAGTCTTCGCCGCGTCAAAAGAGGAGGACTTACCATTTGCGGTCGAGTCGCTGCACTGCACGACTACGAGCATGGAGTGCGTATACGATTGGTTACATGCAAGGTCTACGAGAGGAGCGCTATGGTTTTCACACATATATATATATATTACCTTGTGCCCAAGACAGTTCAACGAGACTTTTCAAACTGCGCGTGGGGAAGTGGCACCAGGAAGAAAAACGGGGCGAGATGCAGACATTGCATAATACAATGGACTCAGTCAACGAGCAGAGCAGGGGCGCGACGTCTCTCTCGCTCAACGCATTCATGGGCGACATCACCAAGACCCACGCGGTGGTCTCGTCGGACCCGGTCCCCTTGGCATCTGGAAGTTAGCGAGGTAATCTCGGGGCGCCAGGTGGTGCTTGGCGAATGCGAGGTCATCTCGTCTCTCGCCGGCTCCCAGCCCCATATTAGGTTTCCGGCAGAAGCGAGATTATCTCGGTTCGCCCATGGGCCCGCGCGACAAGATTCGCAATGCAGATCGTCGCCGCCTTTCAGCGCTTGGAGAGCAAGCTGGAAAAAGGTGTCTGGAGCCTGACCCCAGCCGAGACCAACCACCTGGCGGCTCTGCGGGGGCCGGGGCGAGATGGGGCCACAAGGCAGCTGCAGAGGGAGAAGAAGATCAAGGGCACTAGAAGATGAGAGCATTGGGGTCGCACCTACCAGGATCAAAGGCGCGCAGGAGAGATGGGGGGGGAGGTGCGAGGCCATGCAGCTTGCCTGCATGCAGCGCGGGTGCTTCTGGTCTTCGTACACCGCGGACCTCGCAAAAGAAGGAGGTGTTCCAGGCGTTTGAGGCGGGGGCGGGTCTCGGCGGGCCGGCGGCGCTTACGCTGGAAGAACGTCATGCGAGGGCGCCAGACACTGCGATGGCACTCCTGTTGAGAGGGATGGCAGGAGGCAGAATGAGCGGGGCGGGGGCAGGCGGCGCAACCAGGTGCTGCGCCAACAATGGGGTGTTCTGGAGATGCAGGATACAACTCTGCCCGACGGCCCCGAGGATGCGCAGTTACGGCGGCGCAGACAATGGGCGAAATATCCAGAGAGGATTCGGCAGCGTGTTGGCAGCGCTCTTTGGGGCGTCGAAGTTGGGCAGTCTCTGCCAGGTCAAAAAGCATTGAATGTGAATGGAAACGCAATGCTTCTGCACCTTGGGCCAATCAGGTGGCCGGGTGCTTTCAGGCGCTGGCCGAGGTCGGTCAGGGCGCGTGGAGCTGGCGCCCGAAGAGGGGGCCATGCGTCTCCATATTTTGGAGGGGCGCAAGGGATTGGGAAGCGCGGGCGGGGGCGCCAAAGCAGCAGGCAGCTCGCCGTCGACAGCGGCTGCGTCGACAGGAGGAGAAGGCGGACGGGGGGGGATGCAGACCACCCACCCGCCAATCTTACGCAGGGGTCGACAACGAGGAGTTCGACCTAAGAGGGCGCATCAACGGGTTTCAAAGATTGGCCCTTCGCTCCGCGACAGAGATCAGAGACATGAGCCACAGGACATCGAACTTCTACTTCGCGCCAGTCAGCAGTCTTGCGCTTCGGGGGCCGCCGGCAGCGGGGCAGAGCTACGGGGGCCAGGTTCGGGGGAAGGGCAAAGGGCGCAAGATGGGGCCGCCAGGTAATCGCACGGGATTGGCGGACATGGAAGCCACGCGTGAGATGGCGTCGGGATGGCAGAAGGAGGGCGAAACGGCAGCACCAGTATCAACAGACAAAGCATGGACACACCGAATGATTTCCTGAAGCTGATGGAGGGCGAGGGCGAGCACAGCCAGGCAATGATTGGGGAGCGCAGGGCATTCGGGCATTCAGTATTAGTCCTGGGACAGATAAGAAAGGGCGCTGCATGGAGGGGAACATATATAACGAAAGAACATGTCTGCCAAACACAAAAGCAGAAGGGGGAATGGGGG